CTCCTAATCTACAAAATATTTATGCTTTAAAGTATTTTTAAATTAGTTATTGAAAATTACCATTTCTTCATAAAGAAAAAATAGTTAAGTTCTATGGTAAACATTGGAGTATACTGATAAACTCTGGTATTAAACTGAATAACTGAGCTAGCAACTTTTTTTTTTTTTTTTTTTGCTAGCAACTTTTTGTTTTGCTTTTGGTTTACCTGTTTGCTTTCTGTGGTGCTGGAGAGTGAAGCTAGGTCCTACACTCTATCATGCTCTACCACTGATTTACATCTTCAGCCCATTCTTATTTTTTTATTCTTAATTTTTTGTTTCTGACACAGGGTCTCACTAAGCTATACATACTGACCTTGAACCTGTGATCCTCCTGCGTGAGTCTCCCAAGTAGCTAGGTCATACAGGTATATATCCCTTTGAACAAGTAACACTTTTAAATAAACAACTCATGAAAATCATCACCTTTTCTACCCTGTAATCACAGTAACCAAAAGCCTGCTCCCTCTTCACTGGCCAGGAGATAACCCCATTCACAGAAAAGAAAACTCATAAAGCCAGCAATGGCAACTTTCTGGACACACTAATGACATGTATTTATGGGGGAAGGGGAAAAAGAAGAAAGGAAAAAGGGAGGGAGAGGAAGCAAAAACAATAATGGCAGAGGGAAGGAAATGAGATTTTGCTTAAATCAGGAATTTTTAAAATATATTTATTGTGGTTTATTGGTGGTGGCCAAATTAATGGTTAGTGCTGTAACTTCAGAACCTAAAGGAGTATTGTGATAAAGTAGGTGGCTCATTAAGAACTACTAACTGCTAGCTAAATAATACTCTTAACTTCTTAAATTCAAACTTCTTTTCCAGTCTGTTCCTTTCAACATTTCTAATTAAGACCCTCTACCAGCATTTCCTAACTCCTCATCTGAACCAGCAAACACATAAAAATAATTTGAGTGATATTTCTCAGTTCCCCAAGAAATAATGCATAGTCAGTACTTTCCCAGAGGCACAGATGAGAAGTTAATCATCATGCACAAAGGAATGCCTTACATACAGCACCACGTATGCACATGGACTAGAATGCTAGCAGACAAAGACTGTTAGGCTAATTAGTATAAATGTTCCATGATGGCTTTATATAAGATTTAAAAATACATTTACCATGCAGCAATATTCCAGGATGTTCAATTTTACAAGACAAATACACATACAAGAAGCAAATTAAAATTCTGGCAAACTGTCTACCTCTGTCTTAGTCTCCAAAAGTATAGCTCATAAACTTAACCACTTGAAAGGCAAACCACAACGGAAATTGTTAGGGAACACCCAAAAACATTTTTGAAAAAAATAAAATATCTACAATTTTTCATATGTGACTATGTACAGTTATGGTAGCCTCCTGTGTGTTAAAAAATGCTTTTTACTTAATGTAGTCTACAAATACTTAGGAATCAATAAGATTTATCAGTCAGTATCTCATTAAAATTCTGTGTGCAAGAACAATGATTACTTATGATTTAAAAAGTCAAGTTTACAATTTTTTTTTTAGTATATTTCTATTATCATACCTCTATGACTATGACATTTCACTTCTATTATCTATGTGGTCTGCCTCTAAAAACTAGGGATTTTATCTTCAATGCTCTAAAAATAAATATTATTATTTAAAAATCTCTTGTATTAACAGAAAGACTAGTTTTTGGTAAAAGCTTTTCTTTGCATATTCAAATGGGTATGGTAAAAGTTAAGAAGTGCCATTTTCTTTCCTGTATGCCAAGTACTAGTGGGGCTTATAGGGAAAGAGATGTCTTCCCACACTTCACCCACCTTCTGACCAGTATGCCAACTCTTCCTTATTCCCCTGCAGTCACAGAAGTGTTTAGCAGTGGGTTTATGATTTTTCTACCTCCTCTTAGCAGTGCATTTATCATTTTGTACCTCCTCTTTCCTTATTCCTGATTTCAATACCCATGTGGACGATTCATATATCTTTTAGCCTCTTCATGATGTCTTAATTCTCCACCCCCATAAAAGCACCTTAGACCCTAAGATCTCAATTGTCAGTACTTCATGATCTGAATTACCCTCCCTGTTTCTGGATGACTGCCCCACAGAACCTCTAATTCACTGACCTTATCACTTTTTAAAGCGCGCAATACCATATTTAGGTCTTAATTTGTCTCTGCCTTGTCACTTTCTGTCAGCCCTTGCCCACCAAAACCTCAAACCTATTAAATCCAGCTCTGTTCAATCCAGAACTTTTATCGGGTACCTAAGTAAGACTGGAGAAAAACACAACTGTGCTAGTTGTTTTCACTCTAAATTCACGACCACAAACCTCAAAGTGGGTCCTCAATACTGGCAGGGAGTCACACCGCCCGCCCCTTTACAGCAAGTGGCTTGGAAAGTTGACTGTAGTTGCCCTTTCCATTTCCTCCCCTCTCATTCTCTTTTGAAGGTACTGTAGTCGGGCTTTCATTTTTATCAGAGTGGCTGGTCTACATTATTAATTATTATTCCGGGAACGTTTGACAGCGTCGATCACTCCCTTCGGTTTGAGAAAAATTTTTCTCACAACTGTAAAGCAGAGATCCTTCCTCCTATTTCCTCCACACCTTATTCTCTGCAGCCTTTGCCTCTGCTCCTCATTCCCCACAGGGCTTAAGGTCTCAGACCTCTCTTCTCTATACTCATTCTCCAAACTCAGTGCTTTGAGTACCACATGAAAGATGAAGGCACCTCAATTTGCATCTTCCACTGAACCTGTGCCCTGAACTATAGAAATACATCTACCACTCTCTCCTCTGCTCACTGTACTCCAGCCCCACTTCTGATCCTCAAACATGTCAGGAACGCTCCATCCTCGGTAGAGCTTGTAACTGAAGGTTCTTCCTCTGAACCGACCCGTGCTGCAGTCCTTCCACCATTCAGGCCTCTGCTCAAATGCTGCCTGATGCAGCAGACTTCTAAGGTCCTTACTAAATAGCATCTCCTACCTCGCTTCACAGCATTTGTCACTAATTAACACTACACTATCTTCTTGCATACTCATTTGCTTTATGAACATCTCTTAGAATGTAAGCTACATAAAGGTAAGGTATGTATTTGCCTATGTTGTTACTGCCTGGCACAGAGTTGGCATGACAACATTTGCTGAAAGATTTTGAGATACATTAAAGTTATCTCATCTGCAAAGACAGAATTATGAAACATTTAAACAGCTAAGTCATACGCTTCAGTAATGAACTTTTTAAAAAGAATCAACAATAATGAAGTCAAATTATATAACCACAAACTGGGTACACATGTAAATGAGAAAAAAGCTTTTGTAAGTCAGTAGAACCTGTTTAGACGAAGTTTAGAAATAAGTTTTACCTCAGAAGCAAAGGGCAAACTGGCTGCTTGTGGATATCTGAAACATTACATTGAAAGGGTCTCTAAAGCTAATCATGTCAGCAGGAAGAAGTACCAGGTTTAAGGGTATCTTGCAGAGAAACAGAAGGGTTGGGAAAGGTGACAGTGATACCAGATATATGCCACTCCATGATCTTAATCTATAAATGGACTATCTTTGATACCTTATGTTTAATTGAATGCTACCAAAAATTTCATACTATACCCTCATTACCTACTTGAAATTTCCATATGAATATCTAAAGAGAGATCTCAAAGTTATAATAACCAAAGCAGAACTTCTGATCTGGAGTCTCCCTCAAAAACTAACCAATAATAAACTTTAGTCTTTTTCTACTCTTCCCTTTCGGTAATGACATCGTCACGCACCTGGCTGCCCACATAAAAACTCTAGGAATTATCACTGATTCTCTCTGTTCGTGACTCATACTGTCAAATCCATAAGAAAATCTTATTAGCTCTAGTCCCGAAGCATACTCTGACTTTATCTACACCACTCCATTTCCCATCGCTTCTTACCTGGTCTACCATAATAGCTTTCTAGCTCAACTTCCTGTTTAAACTTTGGTTCCCTTACAATCTACTACCTATATTTCAGTCACAATTTCTTTTGAAAATATAACTCAAATATTATCATTTCTTTATAATTTTGCACTGCACTTGAAATCAAATCCAAATTGCTAAAACTGCCTAACTTTCCATGGCCTAGTTCTCCACCTTTGCGCAAACCACTCTTCTCTTACTCTTTAATGCTCAGCCAGCCTGGCCTTTTTTCAGTGCCAAAAGTTTAGTGTAGGGCTCTTGTCCTGCCAGATCCCTACACTGGAAAGCACTTTCTCTTACAAGCTCTCTTGTGATGTGCAGATCTCAGCTTAAAGATCCCATTTTAGTACTCTTCCTTTATCACCAAGTTTAAGGAAACCACTCAATCACCATCACCTAATCCAGTCTTAACACTGTACAATACAAATAACTGATATTTGAATGGTTTATATATTAATTTGTTTGGCTATCTTTCCCAATATAATATAAAATTTAAATAGTGGAGATCTTAAGTTATCTTTTTTCAACACCAGGCTAAGCTTAACTGGTAAGCATTTGTGGACGGTAATAACCTAAAAATTGTGTTATATTTTAGCAAAATGATTTTCTCTGCTGTGTATGTTTATTCATTTATATTTGTGGAATAAATGAAAGAGACCAGAATTATTAAGAATTCCCTGTCTGAGATTGGAGAAGTAATTCTCCAAGGTTGAAAATAACACAATTTTCTCTTGATTCAAATTCAAAAAGTGACAACTTTTTTGCCAGGCACAATTAGACAATCAGTAAATGAACATGAAATGAGAATTTATGATGTAGCAATTTCTTAAAGACCAAAAGAAAACCAACCTAAAAATTTGTACTAATTTGTACTTTTTTTTTGGTACTGGGGATTGAACTCATGACCTTGCGCTTACCAGGCAAGTGCTTGAGCCACTGAGCTAACTCCCCAATAATTTGTACTTGAGATTTGTAATTTCAGTTGCATATTTATCATCTGTCACTCATTTTACTACTTGAAAATAACATAATAACACTTACCTTACAACTATAAGTATGGCTATAAGGATAGAACAGATGGGATCTGCTATCATCAAACCAAAATTTTGCATCATGATAGCTGAGGCAATGACACCAATACTCCCGAGTGTATCTGCCAGAATGTGTAAAAATACACCTAGCAAGAAAGATAATAAAAATATAATTTTTGGTCCACTTGAAATAAAATACTCTTAGTACCATACTCTTAATTGATTTTAAAAATTGTGACCATTTATCTCTGTCTTAAAAAAGAATATAAAACTTAGTCATTTGGAGAAGGAAACAGAATTAGGATCAAAGAATTAGTCAAGAAAATGCAATTACAAATATGTATGCCCACAGAGCCCTCTGATGGTGATTAAAATTATTACCATTTTGGGACTAGAATTTTCTATGGATTCTAATCTACTTATTCTGATATATTCATTAATTAACCTAAGGGTTTTGTTACCCAAATTATACATAATGTGCTCAAACAATGTGAAAAAGAGGATTTGAATATTTTAAAATTAACATTTGAGTTGAATTTTTAATAATTAAATGTTAAATTGGTAGACTATAGATACTATAGCTACCCAAAAACCCAGCTATAATATGAACATTTAATAAGTAACACTTGCCTGGAAAACCACTAAAAATGTCAAGATCCTTAATTTAGTTCTTTAATGAATTAAATTTACCATGTAAAAAATTATTTTCTGTCTTTTAAACTTCAACTATGCCTTGGTAAAATTACAAAATTCTTCAGTTTCATCAACTACCCTATATGAAAAGAAATAGCTACTGTGCATAAAGCAAGGTACCCAATATAGAAAAAAAAAAGTTTTTATTATTCCTTGAACAACAACAAAAAAAAAGTTAGCTATAATTATTTTTAGGGGTGGAAATAGATTTCAACTTAAATTCAAAAATATTTTTAATAATATTTTTAATAACAACTATGATAAAGTCCAGTTGAATCTTAATATATGCTAAGAAATTACATTTTAATTATTTGCTATCATGTAACTTGCGTGAAATATTACACTAAATATAACCCATCCTTCACCATCTACATATGTTTCCATTTCTATAGTTTTCACTTTAGGATCATTCTTCAGAAAGGTAGCTGATAATTAAAAGAAATATGTTTCTATAACAAAAAATTGTCAGAAAACACTTATAAACTAATCAATTTCTTTAAAGTATTTCAAAGAGTTAAACAGATTAGTAAGTGCTAAAATCCTTTTAAATTTTTAAAATAAATAAAAAAAAATGAATGCTAGACGTGGCAGTACACACATGTAATCCCAGCACTCTCTGCGGGGCTGAGGCAAGAGTCTCGTAAGTTGGAGCACACCCTAGGCAATTTAGTGAGCTCCTGCCTCAAAATAAAAAGGGCTGAAGGTATAGCTCAGTGCAAAGGCCATCGTTTCAATCCCCGGTACCATGTAAAAAAATATATACAACTACAAACTTATATGTGACATATGTTTTTAAAACTTTCATATTTAAAATTTATTTGTTTATTTTTGCTCTTTTTGAGACAGGGTCTTACTATGCAGTTCAGGCTGGCCTTCAGCTTACTTTGAAACCCAGGCTGGTCTCAAATTCACAACCATCCTCCTGTCTCAGCCTCCCATAAAACTTTTATATTCTTTAATCAGTTTTGGTAAAATCAGAAGTAAAAATAGCTATAAAACACAGAAAAGTAAAATAGAAAAGAATCACATGTTCTAGTTTTCCATATATTGGAAATTCCTTGACTGCTTATTATTTGCTAATGTGAAAATTGGTTTTGTTTGTAAATATCATCATCCAAGCCCTTTTCACTTTATTGTAATTAATATTTAAGAAAAAAAGGACATACACTAATACTAAAGAAGGACATATAAATTATTCTCCTAGCTTATATAAAGTTGGAACCTTAGAAGACCTGGTAGGATACTGAAAATCTAACTTGCCAGAAACCTATTAATCCAGGTGTTCTACTCAAGATGTAGCTAAAGTTAAAAATTCAGTAAACTAACTGATTTTTCTTGTTGAGTAGCTTGTATATAATTGTTTTGCAGGAAAGATTTAATCCTAGGCAGTTATTTCTGCCTTTTGGCTACCCACTGACCTGCTTAAGCCACCATAAATTGGTGCTTAATATACATAAAAACATATAAAAGATTATTAAGTAGACTTAACTTTCCTCCTACGATGACTTTTAAAATTAAAAATGAAAAGTAATTTCCATCACTTACTATTGCAGCATCAAATATGCATGATACAAGTTATTTCAGCAATCTGTTCTTAAAAGTTCATTTTTTATAAATGGAAAATTAGTGATGAGGAGATTAAGCCTTCTCATAACGAACTACTCAGTATCAAGGAACATATTCTCAGTGAAAAAATAAAAAGCAAGAATTGGATCAAGAAACAAGAAAAATAGGTACAGTAGGAACTCTACCATAAGCTACTGAGACAATCAGATTGAAACCAAGTTTATAAAAGCAAAACAGACCTGAGAATCAGGAAACCTTGACAATAAAATCTAAATGGAAACTCAGCACCTAACACTAGTTTATATCCCCAAAAAGAAAGCATAATGCATAGAGATGATTTCTCTGGCACACATAAGCTTTTGTGTAAATATCATTAACTGATGCCTACAAATATAATAGAGGTTCTACTCTCTACATTAATGTTTTAAGCTCAAATTATCATATATTAGAGCACACTGTGTTAATTTTGGAGAAATTATGTAACAAAGGCAAACATACTATCATCAAAGGTCTTGGTATTATTTACAATGAAGTAGCACAGATTCCAGCTATTGTGCTTTTTTTACTAAATCTGAACTTGCAAGTGACAAAAGACTATCTGCTAATAGCACACATATATAAAATCATCACTAGAAAGAATATTTCAAATAAAAACAACACATTATCAATTTTTCCTAAAGGAAAACTTTAGACAATTGAAAACTATGCAGCTAGTTTCATGAAATTGAAAAACATGCAAATTGCTTATCATACCTTGTAAAATCTGTCTGCTGGGTCCAGTTGTTTCTTTTAAGGAGGGACCATCTGTAGAGAATTAAGTTAAATTACTTTAAAATGTCTTCAATTTCTGATTCAAATTTTGTAATTCAGAGTCCTTTTCATTCAAATGTCTCATGAAGGATGTGAGACTATAGAACCACATCAGACCTACAAAATTATTTTTAAAATTTAATAAAGTAATTGAATAGAAATAAGTTTAGTGGAAGAAATTTAAGAAGGACACAAGATTATTTTGGAAGTTATATTAAAAAAATAAAAAATGCAAGGAATTCAAAACACTGTGAAAATCTGCTAACATTCCATAAAAATCCAATATTCAGATAAAACTAACTGTACTGTTTGAAGTTACAGGAAGTCCAAGAAATGAAGCCAGAACAGAATCCAGAATAACTTGACTATGGCAAATGGTAGTTTTTCAATAGCTTCCAGGCAGATGTGACAAGATTTTTATACAGAAGTGACAAAAATACTTCCATAAAAATTTGCCCTGAAGATAAAAAGTTACTGTAATTTCTATACTTAAGTGTCTTAATGACAACTAATTAGTTTTATATTGAAGCAGAAAACGTAAGTTAAAAAGGCAAAAAGATAAGCAAACCTTGTTTAAAGGAAATACCAGGAGGATCAGCATACTTTCTGATCATGACAAACAAAGTATCTATCTACAGCCATTGATTCTTGGCTGATAGTACCAAAGACCAATAATGTATAACTTTACCAGTGTGGCACTGATCAGAGCACAGCAACAATGCTCTACCACAATGCCGCATATATAAAAGCAGAATCCTGCACAGTATTCTCTCTCTAGGTAGGTTCTGCTGTACCACGTACGACTGTAAAAACTATGCTGTAAAAAGATGAAACTGACATGAAAAGCCTGTCGATAGTGAAAACCGTAACTATCATAAAAATTTAGCTCTTGATCAAGGCACCAAATTATCGAGATAAAGACAGGACCTTACCTGTGCTAGGCAAATAGTCTACCAACTGAGCTATACCAACAGCCCATCCAAATGTATTTTAAAAGGTATACATTAAATCCTCAACTTACAAACAAGTTCTGCTCATAATCAGATTCGTTTGTCAAAGTGAGTCTTACAGAGTACACCTGTGAATCTTATAAAGGGCAGCCATGAAAGTTCACAACTGGAATGTTCACAAGTCAGGGATTTACTGTACTTTTGTTGTACTAACAGTTACATAAGACAATGTAACTCCCAACTATGCCAAATCTGTAAGTCCTTTTGGATGTATATTTTGTTATTCGTGGCAGGGAGGGACTGGCTAGTTACTTACCAAACTCATTTATTTCTCCTCTGGGGTATGCAACTAAACTGTAGGCTTCCTTGAGTTAGGTAGGGCTCTGTGGCTGAGTTGTGGACAAAGAAATATGAAACATAGACTAGTGTTAAAAGAATGCTCAACCTTAGGGTCCCTAGTCCTAGGATCACAGACCACGCTGTTCTAGACCATTCGAGATCAGTGTGTGGCCTGTGAGGAAGCAGGCTGCAGAGCGGGAGGTGAACAGCTGGAAGGGAAGCTTCATCTGTATTTTTTTTTTTTTAATTTTATTTAAGGAGAAAAAGAAAAAAAAAAAAACAGAAAAAGGGTACAAGTTATACAGAATTTCAGAAAAAATAAATAGAGGAAATCACTAGTTAATAGATTACATATTGTCATCTTAGAAATCGTTGTTCAAGTTACAAAATTAAAGCATATAAAGTGGACTTTCAAACAGTGAGACTGCAAATAGTTCTGTTCAATGATCCAACAAAACTCAATAATATGGTTATCTATTTTATACACTTAAATATACATGCAGTTATATCCTTTAGAGCACTTTCTTTTCCTCTCTTTTGTACAATGACAATTACACATTTTGGGTTTTATTACTCCCACAGTTCTTATTACTTTTTTTTGGAGAGTAAAACCAAATGTGACAGCAGAACAGAGTCAGTCAAATCAAAAGGATGGAAAAATAATACATAACTTCATCTGTATTTACAACCTCTGTGAATCCTCACATTACTGGAGCTCTGCCTCCTGTCAGATTAACGACAGATGGGACGAAGAATCTAATGACCTGAGGTGGAGCTGAAGCAGTGATGCTAGTGCTAGAGAACCTAATTATTATGCATCGCAATGTATGCTAGTTAAAAAAAATAAAAATAAAAATAAACTAAGAAATTACAAACTTTAAAAGTTTTTAAATCCCTCACTTTAGGTTTGTGGAAAAATTGTCTTCCATGAAACCAGCCCCTGAGACCAGAGGTTGCTCAGTCTCCTGGGATTGCAGGCGTGGGCCGCCACATCTGCTGGCCCTATTCCTTTTGAATGCCCTGGTTATCTTACACAATACTGAATAACTGAATAACAGTTAAAAGCACAGATTTTGAAGTTTAATCACCTTCATGCAAGTTCTACCTTTTAATTTACCAGTTACTATGCTTTCTTTGTGCCTTAGTTCATGGGGGCAATAGTTGCACCTACCTTACTAGATGGTGAGAAAACTGAAAAAGCTAACATTTAAATTACTTAAGACTATGCTTGGAACATGTGAGCAAAACTGCTAGCAATGATCAGTATGGTTTATGATGATGATGACGATGACTGAAATACAGTATCAAGGTATCATAAATACTTGTTTAACTCCCAACAGATACTGAATAAAGTTTTTAAAGATTTGCTCCTAGGCTACCAAAACACATACTTGAAATAAAAAGTACAAAGTTCTAGGGCAACACACAAGGTGTCACTTTAAAGTATAGATGTCAATGTTAGGAAAGCAATGACTGGGGCCTGGCCAGCATATACTTTCACAAGCAATGTGGCTTCTAATTCTTTGTTTTTAAAAAAAATGCAGAAATTAGCTAATGGAGCTCCCAATTGAGAAATCATTAAAAATTATTTTGAGGGCTGTGGATTCTATTTAGTTGTAGAGTACTTCCTAGCATGGAAAAGAACCCTGGGTTTGATCCTTAACACTGGAAAAAAATTTTTTTGATGTCAGATCATTCTAATTTTTGGAACAATTCTATAAGTGTCTTAAGAATTGACTAAAATGGAATTCCTTTTACTTTAAATTTCTTAGTAATTACATTTATAAAAATGAAAAATGAAGAACCAACTGATCTCAAAATCTATTTTATGCAAACAAATATTACTTGTCTATTAAGTGTTTGAAAATAAGCTCCAATCATCTCAAACATGTAATTCAAACAAAATGTTGCTTTTTTAAGGTTAATGACTTATGTTAAAATTTGAGATAGAATATTTTGATTGACTTTATACTTGTAAGGACTACAAGTATTCCATTCAAAAGAAATCTCTGAATCTAGGTATTATGTTCATGGAACATAAGAATATTTAAATTTATGTATGCATTTTTTAGCTAAGAAATACAGCAGACATTGTCAATTAAAGAGAACACAAACATACTTTGTTACCATAAAATTATGGAAAAATGTAATTAAGTCAGAATACAAGAAACAAGATGATGTAAAATTCACAATTGTTTCTATGTTCTTAAATGAGTAATGTTTCTAGATCACTAAGATATTTAGAGTTGACTGAATATATTCAATAGAATAGTGTAAATTTCCAACAATAATGTGCCAGAATTGTATTTGTCACAACTGTTCAACCAAAGTTTTTAGGGATCATCTTATAAATGTGTGAGGGGGCACGTAGTTTTTCAAAATTAATTTGGGATGATGCACATAAGCAAAGTATTAGAAAAGTAAGTGTATTATTAAAGATACGGCAAATTTTAGAGACTGACACAGACACCAAACAGACCAGTGGGGTTACTATGTCAAATAAAAAAGCAAACAAAACAAACAACAAAAGGAAAATGTAATCTACAGAATGGCAGAATATATTTATGAACTATATATCTGATAGTTAATATCTAAAATATATACAGAACACATACAATTCAAGAAAAAAATTACCTGATTAAAAACAACCACAGGACCTGAATTAGATCCTTCTCCAAAGAGTATGTACCAAGAGCTAACAGACACAAAAAGGTATTCAACATTATTAAAGGGGAAATGGAAATCAAAACCATAATGAGATATCTCTTATATCCGTTAGGATATCTATTAGCAAAAAAAAAAAAAAAAATTGTATTGGCACAGATGTGAATAGGAAATCCTTATATACTACAGGAATGTAAGTTGGTGCAGTCATTCTAGAAAGCAATATAAAGTGTGTTCAAAAAAAAAAAAAAAAGGTAAGATCTATCACATGACCAGCAATCCCAGCAATCCCAGTTACATAAATATCAAAAAGGAATTAAAAGCAAGATCTCAAGGACATCTCTATATTTCCATTTCACTGCAGATTTATCATACTTAAGGCAGAGAAGAACCTGACCAACAAACAGATTAAAATTTTTATGTAACAGAATACTATTCAGCCTTTAAAAAAAAGGCTGAATTACTGTAACAATTTGCCATTTGGGACAAGATGGATGAACCTGGAAGGCACTATATGAAATGAGTTACAAGACACAGAATGACAAATACTATAATAATACCACCTCTGTGAGAAATTTAAAATAGTCAAACTGATCAAAATAGAGTAAGATGGTAGATGCAAGGGGCTGGAGGGAGGTACAGAGGGACAATTATTCTTTAAAGGATAGAAAGTTTCAGTTATAACCTATTTACCTTTCTAGATGTGACATAGCAGTATGTATAACATAGTAGTATTTACTGTTAATTCTGTACTACACAAACACTTGCCAAGAGGGTAGGTTTTATGTCAAATATTCTTATCACAATAAATGATTAGAATAAAAATAAAGAGGGGGCAGGAAAAAAACCACAGTGCTTATGGATAAGTTTATGGCTTACTTTGAATACTCATCTCCAAATTAATCAAATTAGATACATTAAATATGTACACTTTTTGTATTTTAATTATATTTCAGTAAGTACTTAAATCTCCATGGTGCCTTTCATATTTCCAAATCAAAGCTTTAGGATTCGGTTCATACAGCAAATACAGTTAATATTACAACATATAATCTATTTCAAGATTAAACAAATTGTGTCACCTAAACAGTTTCTATTAATCTAGCCTCTGGTATTCATGAGTAAATTACTTAAAATATAATTTAAGTTGGTAAGTGCTTATAACTTAGTATCTAAAGCTACACATACAGTATCTAGAGATTTCTAAAGGAACATAAAGGTAAGTATCAGGTGTTAAACATAAAAATGTGAAGGGCTGGTGATATAGCTCAGCAGCATAGTGTCTGCCAGGCAAGTACGAGGTCCTGAGTTCAGTTCCTAGTACCAAAAAAAAAAAAAAAAAAAAGCGAAAGGCTAAAAATCCTTGTAGTATTTTCAAGACTAGACAGCGGCCAAAAGGCTTCACCATTGTTTAAACCAAAAAAAAAAAAAAAAAAAAACCAAGACTTTCATTTGCTAAATTGCAATTGTTCCCCATTCACTAACATTCAGTTAAAATAGTGGCATTTTATTATGATATACTCTCTAAGGAAAAAGCTATATCCATTGCTTTATATCAAGTTACTTTCTAATATGATAAAAAACAATCCTAAGACCCACTGATTCATTAGAAAGTTAACTATAGTACCCGTTTAGCAGGCCCTTTCAAGGAAGAGAAGTAATACAAACTTCTGTTTGAAAGTGTTTCCAACCGTACTCACCGTGAGAATGGAAGTGGCCGTGGCCATGGCCGGGGCCGTGAGCATGATCATGGCTATGGGCAGCACCGTGTTTCAGTTCATGACTATGGCAGTGATCTCCATGGCCATGTGTGGGATCCAGAGCACCATTGAGGAGGGAATGGCTGTGCCCATGGCCTAGGAAACAAAGAGAATTAGGACAGAGGTAGATACAAACCGGTAAATTATTACAATAAGTTGATACTAGAAAAAAGAATCACCTATAAACCCAAATTCAATACAATAAACTTACTTTTAAAAAGTCTTACAGATTTATCAAAACACTCTGGAGCTCCTAATGTGGAGCATGGCGGGAAGGTGGGGGATAAAAGTACAAAGTATCAGGCCTGACTGGAAATGAAAATAAATGCTAACTAGAAATACACAGCAATATTTATTAGAGATAATGCTGCTTGCTCACAATAAATATGTATTTGGAGCATACTATGTGAGAGGCACTATGGATAAGCAGTAAAAAGTACACACACAAAAAAATTGTAGAATACCACATATGCTATGGACACTAACAAAGATCAACTGAACATGGGCCACTGTGTCTTACTTTTACTTGGCTGAAACTAACTATGCAGAACCTGTTTCTTTTCCTACCTTTAAAAAAACTTAGCTACCAACTGCACTCATCTTAAATCAATTCTTGGCTCAGGACAGAAAAACCTAGAAACCACTCCAGAAGACTGCAACACCCCAAAACTGGACAATATATTTGGCTGTGCCATCAGAAGAGCAGGTAAGTTCTTTGGGCACATTCTTTTGGTTTTTTTCTCTCTCCAGCCTATTCTGCAGATGCCAGGAGACTTTCCGCAGTACCAAGAACTGTATTCTGTGTTTCTCAGCATGTGAAGAATGCTTGACCTCTATATTTTTTTCTTTTTTTTTCCTCTCAGCTCATAAGAGACCTACATACTCACCTGAAGTTTATCTACCTTTTCTTCTTTTTCCCATTTCTGGTCACTCATCATGCCCACAAGTCAGTAAAAACAGCCACAGACCCAGTTACAAATCCAGCTGCAGACCAGATTGTTCAGGTACTCTGTGTGTGACTTAGCATCTAGTATGCCTTCTGAGCTCCTGTTTCTGTTCTTGGTGATACTTTACTCAGTTTCTCACTCGCTTGGGGGAAAAACAGCTGTTGGTAACTTGGTAGCCTGCTTGAATAGCTGCGTTCCCCCAGTTACTCCGTTATGTGCTCAAGTCTCTATACGTTTTTTCCCCTAGGTAGCCATTTCAATGTTAGCATATGTGCTACCACAGCAAGCACCAGGTAGCCGTTTCTCTCTCAGTGTTGCCACCTGTATTTCATCACACACAGTCATGTAAATTCCACCATGTCTGTTTCCCATGCATGTCTCTTCTAATAAAGTACAGGTAATTTAGAAACATGCCTGACACCCTAAACAGAACAAAAGAATCGCCAACAAAGTTTAACTCAAGGGACTGTGAATCAAAGAACAGTCATTCTCATCCTTAAGTTTTTAAAAGATTTTTATCTTTAAAAAAAAAAAAAAAGTTAAAAGCACCAGAGTTTTTCCTATGGGGTAAATGTGAGGGACACTGTTTCCCAACTGGCTCTACCCTGCTTAAGTAGAGCATCAAATGGCTCAAACCCACCTCTCCCTAAGTTAGCTGGCCTCACTTAGTATGGAGACAAAAATCCCTCAAAGGGCTCTCTTCTCTGCTTCTATGAAAGATGCTGGCATCCTCCCTTCAGACAGAAATGTCTGCCTAGTGAATAGGTGAGTCTCACAAGGGAGGCTTTGTGGGCTCATCAGGTCTCCTCCTTTTTCAGGGGGTACCACATTAAGGACCTAGTTGTCTCTCTCTAAAGGACCCAAGATGAGCCATGGCAAACTGCATGAATCACACCTGCAGATTCAACTAGGCCATTTCCTTAATAGGAAAGCGTTAGCCCTGTTAATTTTAAAAAAAGAAACCATATATTTACTATTGCAATACAGTTTGGGTTCAATATGAACTAGAAAATGACGAGAGATGAGTATAGATGGCAGTTTATGAAACTATTTTTCAGGTAAACTGTTTCTGCTTCAAACATAAAATGTGGAGTGAAATCGCTTATGTTCAGTTTTTTGTGACCCTTTAGCTCAGGAAAGCCCAAAATATGGTAAGCTGAATGGACCCTGAAGAAGAAAGAGACATTTTTGATGATCCTGTCCTTGGATCGCCACCTGTCTCTCAGGGAAATATGGGTCTCTCCCATCTGTCAATAAAGGAACTTTACATGAGCTCTCTGACGCCTATGAACATAGCCCTTTCTGTGGGCATCAGAATCTGGAGGAGGGTCAAAAGAGAAAAGCTAAAAGTAAAGCTGTCACAATTCGCAATGCTTTAAACTCACCCAAACTGTCTAAGGAAAACCCAAGGATGATTGAATGCAAGAAGCCTGGATACTGAGCATGGGTCTGCACCAACCACTGAGCTGTCCTGTCAATATGAGGCAGCAAATGTGCCTGACGCATGGCATTGGAAGGATGACTGCCGTGTTCCCAGAGAGGGGCTAGGCCAGCCCAAACCCTCATTTCCTAAGGGAATCCACAATGTCCTGTCCAAGGGTATTACTATCTACTATGAGGAATTCCAGGTAATGCTGGATGTCATGGGCCCAGAAGTTTGCCATTCTTGTTAACAAACCATTTCCCAGACCTAGTCAAGTAGGCAGGACGTCAGTGACCTGCTCCTCCAGGACCCTGAGGAGGAGTGAGAAGAAAGCTATTCCTGAAAAGCTCTGGGAGACCTGAAGCTTCTCTTCAGAGACCCTGGTACTGCTCCAGCTGCAGATAAGTAAGGTCTCTAATGACCCTAATTCAGCACAGCTTAAGTGGGCACCTGTATAAAGGCTTCTATTTTTAATCAGACCCATTATGTGGGTGATCTTTCTAAAGCTGTGGCTCTCAGGCACTCAATAATTTATCTAACTTCCCTCTTTGCCATGCTTGGTCCCCCAGAAGGAGCATAGAAATCTGACCTGCTCCTCCTATTTGGATTCTAAATCTCCAAGTAACAGTGAAGTTACTTTCTTTCTCCCATTAAAAAAATACACTCAATACTCACTAACTTTTCTCACTGTCCTCTGACAGAACTGTTCTGTTTTGTTTTGCTTTGTCTACAACTCAGTGAGCGAGCCACAGCAGTCCACCAAAGTTAGAAAGCGCATACTCCCCAGCAGATTAGGGCTACAACCTCTTCCAGCTGGAAGATGCTATAGAAGACAGAGACCTTCACTCCCTCAGGACCCCATAAGGAATTACGGGGATATGTATCTCACAGGGTAAAAGACAGGAAAACGAGGGTATTGCAAACCTACTTGGGGAAGTGAGTGTGACTTAATAATTATAAGATTCCAGGACACATGCACAGAGCAATTCCTGAAGACCTGAATACAGACTTCTCATGAGAACAAGAGCAGGTTTTGATAGGACCTAGGCATAGACCTGACTTCACTCTGAGGACTGGCTGACACAGAGGAGATCCACAGAGTTTTTGCCACTGTGTTCTCTCTCACATGGATGGCCCCTCTTAAGCTGTACAGTGTACTTGTTTTCCTAGTTTGACTTGACCCAAAATCACTTTGCAGAGCCTGTTTTTTTCCTTACCTTTAATAAAACTTTGCTACCATTTACATTTATCTCGACCAATTCTTTGCCTAGGACAGAAAAAACCTACAAACCACCTCCAGAATGACCAGCACATTTCCAAGGGCACTCAACAGCAGCAACAGCAGCACTCACCATCACAAAGACACTCACAAAAGAGGACTTTCAGAACTGTTTCAGAAAGTGCTAAGAACGATGGGATAAATATGTTTAAAGTGGAGGGAAGCATTGGGGTGGAGGAGTTAATGACAGTATATCTTTTTACTAACATTTTTTATTCCTGTTGCTACATCCCAACAATAAGCTTTTACAGTTCTTTACCGCATCATTATGGTAGGCTTGGCAGTTTCATGAATCATACTTTGTGGTCTTCTTTCTCACCAAGTGGTAAAAACAGCAGCTGAATGGGGAATGTTTTCAGTGGAATACAATTTTCTAGCCCTTTCATGTTTGCTCTAAGTGCTATCATCAATTTACCATATATAAAATTTTTCTGATTTTGGTTTTTCACCTCTAAAATAAGAATAATAAAGCTACCCCTGGGGGAATCAATATGAGCAAAATATACACATGGAAATCCTCCCAAAAGAATGTAAAACTAGTGAAAAGGGTGGTGAGGGGTGAAAATGATCACAGTGTGTGTATGCATATGTACAAATCTGCCAAAATGAAATCCTCAATCTGTATAACCAATAAAAAAGTGAAAAACATGACACCTATTTAATAAATATGACAGAATCACAAAAAGCAAACAAAAAACAAGGCATACAGTCACAGTGACGCAAAGGCAGGGAAACACTATTGTTGGTAAAAGGATAAATGAAGTTAAATGAAAGCAGGTTGAAAGCAGGTAGAAAAAGGCAAGGAATAAACAATTCTCTTTACAATGTGTAATAAACCACCAAGAAACTTCTTATTCTAGCTACTAAAAAGCACACAGGAAAAAAAATCCTGAATGATAGATAAACAACTTAAAATTATCAGTTATGCTTTGCAAACATTGTAAACACCAGAAAATCAAACCCAGCCTTGCAGCATAAAAAGATTGTAACTTTCATAAAAAGATTGTAACTGTGGGAAATCACCTTCCAAAAGAGTAAAGAAAACCTTTGTGAACTACTTCTCTAAAACAACAAAAGTACAGGAAAACAACTATGGTACAAACCATTTCAGAACTCTGACAATTAATCAAAACTACTGAATGGAGTGAAAACTATCTTCCAAGAGAAACTACTAGAATTTGCTAGGACAAGAGCGTCTGATATGCTAACCTGGAGTTATTCCATTCCATCTTCCTCTCTGGACCATGAGCAAGATAGGCAAAAGCCAGAAGGAGAGATCAGATTATTAACAGTGCTTTTTAAAAGCACTATTTTCTGGACAGTAAATATTTTGTCTAAACTTATTTTGCTTCAACAAATTTCTACCAATCACATGGATCTTAGATCCAGAGCTCAGCTCAATTGAGATGGGGCAAGGACTGGCAACACGGTATAATCAAAACAGTGGCAACTTCCTAGGCACACCTCATCTGCTGAACGCTATGATCCAAGATGCGGTAAATTAAGAGTCTCAGAATTATAAGGAATCTCAGAGAACCAGAGAGATGTAAAAAAAACTTTGGAAAGCATTAAAATATTCCTTAAATTCAAAAGATGGCATACACAGTAATGCACAGGCCCAAGAAAGACCTGAAAAAAAAAAGAAATCACTGTTCATCTCTAATTAACCTTAAGTCCCTACCAAAGCAGGGAGGGAAACCTAAAGCTGCCTTGTAAATTGCCTTAAGTTTAAAAGTCCACTTTTCATGAAGATCCCTTTGACAAAAGTAGCAGATTTTAGGAAAGGCATTCAAAGAAATCTTTTGACTAATCATTCCTCTCTATTAAATTATGAGTTCAGGTGTGATCCTTAGGAAGCCAGGTTAAATACACAAACAAGATCTTAAAACAACCAGCAAAGAACATAATAGCACAAATTCAGGAAATACATAATCTAATAAATCCATTCACAGACAGACTTTCAGAAAGAAAAACACAACATCAACCAGAACAGCAGAAACTGACTTTAGAGGACTGACAATCTGATACCAGAATTGCTACAATATACTATCTAAAATGTCCAATTTTCATCAAAAAGAAATAGAAAAGCATGCCATACAGAGTATTTTAAAAAGGCTGCTTAATGAAAATATTTCTGAAAATGACCAGACTTTAAATTATCTGTAAACAACTCCAATTTAATGAAAATGTATTCAAGAATTCATTAACCAAATAAAGCAATCTAGAGACATTACAGTCAAACTGATAAAAATCAAACACAGAGAGAAAATCTTCAAAGTTGCATAATAAGACAAAAATAGTTTATATATGTGGGTACTTCAAGATTTAACCTTCTCAAAAGAAACCAGAGGCCAAAGACAGTGAAAGAATATCACATGTTGGGGAAATGAAGACTCAAAAATTCTACATTTTATTTCTTTCTCCTTAAAAAGAAATTAAGATATTTTGAAACGGACAAAAGCCTTCTCCCCGGTCAAAAAATATATTACAGTTTTCAAGGGTAAAAGGACATTAAAATAGTTTAAGCCATACAAAGAAAAATAAAGCACAGATCTGTAACAAAGATCAAAATGATTAGAAAAAAAGTTACATTAATGGAAAGCATTAAGATACGATATAAAAGTCTATCATTATGTCTCTGGAATAGGAAACTCCTTAAACAAAGCAAAATATATAAAAGTAAAAATGTAACACAAACACTAGTCTGTATCTACATTAAAAAAAAAATATATATATATATAAATTTAAAGAAAAACCACAGACTGGAAAAAGATATTAACAACACATTTAAAGGTTGACAGCAGTAAAAATACAGTACATGTAAGAATCATGGAATTTTGCATATTGTCTGCAAAAATATAAGCAGGTAGTTCTAGAAGAGGAAAAGCCTGACTAGCCCAAAAAAATACCATGAAGATATTCAACTTCACTACTTATCAAAAAAATACCAAATAAAATTAAAAACCATTTTTATCAAACTTTAACACAACAGTAAGGGTTCACATAGTGGGGAGAAATTATTACTTGCATTTATCCTGGGAAAAAGTATAATGACAGTTATTTTGGAAGGCAATTTGCAAAAATCTTTTGAAACTGAAAACATATAGTCTATGTTCCACCAATTCACTTTATTCTAGCACACTGAATTTAAAAAGTTTCTATAATGACGTAAAAGTTCTATATCTACACTGTCCAATACGGTACCCTCATGTCACTACTGGGCACTTAATGCAATTGAAAAGCTGAATTTTTAACTTTAATTTTAATTAACATAAATGTTAAATCTTTATTTAAATGTGATTAATAGTTACAACAGAGGCCACCACAGCTCTGAAAAAACACTTGGTGTGTCTCCCAAGAGTAAGATTTATATAGATTAGCGTAAAATATGTAAATGAATCAAGGTCCATCCATAGAATACTGATTAGATGATGGTGACTTTTTAAACCATGGAGTAGCTGTTAACACAAGGTAGACTGATGTACACTAAATGTAAAGCTATTAAAACTTATTAGACAGATTTCTCACACACATAGTAAATTTCTCACACACCTATATTTAAATTTGTTGTGGTTTTCGGACGTCTGCTTGTTTTATATGAATGGCGTTAAATGAAAGAAATGAGCTACAGAAGTCTGCAGCAATTCATATCAAACATAACACGTACATCTCTGAGAAGGCGCCAGAACAGAGAGGAGAGGCACAGAACAGTAGGACCAGCTCAGCAAGACATTTATAAGTATTTTGGCATATTACTTTTGTTACTGCAAACTGACACACAGTTTAACTTTACAAATTATTAAAATTTTAAAATAAATAAACATGACACACAGTAGGTAAAAAAAATGAAGAAACAAAGGGTTCTAACCATCATACCAGAGCCATGAGAATGTCCATGACCTCCATGCTTGAAAACAAATATTCCTACTAGATTTACCACAAATCCAAGAATTGAAACAAGTAGCAGTCTCTCATGATGTACATCTGGAGGGGCTAATGCTCTCTAGAAAATATACAATGCAAATAGGATTGGTATAATTTCTGATTGGTACAAATACAAGGCACTATTAAAAATCTACAGTAATTTTCAAAATTAAAACCACTCAAAAACTATGTCATAACAGTTAAAAAAAAAGTAAACAGTGTGATCACATTGGAAAAGAAATAATTACTACTTTTAAGTAAATACAAGTATTTTTGTGTGAATCTTTGATCACAAACTTGTTCTTATTTGGAATCTTTAAATACTGCCCTTTATAAATGCACCCGTCCTTATCTTTTCTCTTTAATTACCATAAACTAACTAGCACAACTGTCATAACACTTCCCAGCTGATCTCACTATCCAGCTTGTGTCTTTACATTTTCATGTCAATATATTACCTATAGCTTGTAAAGCACTATCATGTTTTCAATTTCAAGTTTATTGTTTAATTTTTCAACTATTTTGTAAGCTTGTTACATACAATACTTTATTCCAAAACTGTCTTCAGTAAATTATGACAGCTGAAAACAGGTTTATACATGTCGTTAACTAACAAACATTACAGAAATGTAATTTATTGACTAATCATTATCTACTATACCTCAACTCCTTCTGAGAAAATGAAAAAAGCAGTGAAGATCAAAAAAAGTCCATTGACAAAGCCAGCCAGAACTTCTGCTCTAACATACCTAAAGAGAAGCACAGCAAGTAATTGTGTTATTTCTTAAAAAATCAAATTATAAGTTTACTTCACAGATTTTAAACCATATTATATGCCACCAGCAAAGTCCCAGTATTTGTAATATAGTGCATTTTATTTTAATGTTGCAGAAATGATGGAGGAAATTAACTTATTAAGAATGGTGTTTACTAGAATGCCACAAAACACAGATTTTTACAAGTCAATTAAACAAGCTTCTTAGCATACACAGGTTTATAAAGACCTTGCACAGAAATTTAAATCTCAAGTTCCCACTGGAGAAAGAATAGGATCAGACAAAGCAGGCAAAGCAAGGATCCACAGATACAGAGCAGTACAAAGTCTGGAAACGGGTTACAAACTTACTCTTCTCCCTTTTCTAAGAACTCCATGTATGTTTTGCTTTGTATCTTTCAGTTTTTAGATCTTTGGGAAAAGGGTCCTTGCTATCAAGTAAAATGAAATTATTCTTGAATTATCCCAGAGATAACTTGAGATTTATATTTTTACCATTCTTTTTCTATGATTAATAAATCAGCATACACTTTCAATTACCTATTTTTAGAATAAATTCTAGATTCATATAATTCTAATTAAACTTTTTTAAAAAATACCTGTCTTTTTGTCCATGGACTCCTGAAGCTGTCTGCTTCCTACCTGTGTGAAGCATTAGGGGATAAGATTTTATTTTTCCACTCAGTATACCTGGCTTAAATTCACAGAAACATCTTTAACTCCCCATTTTCCTATGTTCTAACTTTATTCAAAGTGTGCTAACATGACTTAATGACTCTCTTCAAACAATATAATGAGAGCATCAAAACTGCTTTTCCTACTTTCCATCTCAGTGTCTAACTAACACAAATTTTACTATAAATATATTTTAAAGACAAGAAATTCTTGAAATATATCCTATTCAGTTATATTTGAGTTTATCCTATCCAGTGCATACTAACACAGCATGTATTTCTACATTCAAAAATAATGCACATTTCTATCTTCTATCAAACATAAGTAAATTATATGTATATATTATTTATCAAACCATGTATCTTTTTTGGGGAAAGGAACATTAAATTACAATAATTTGCAACCAACTTAACGTAACCTACAGTAAGAAATTTAGTCACCAGTGTTACTGTTCAAAAATACAAAGGTGTTTTTAAAAACTACCCTTTCTCTAATGGATATAACTGCATGTATGTTTAAGTGTGTAGGATTGATAACCATATTACTAAGTTTTTGTTGGATAGTTGAACAGAACTGTTTGCAGTCTCACTATCTGAATGTCCACTTTGTATGCTTTACTTTGTAATTTGAACTATTTCTAAGAAGACAATATATAACTATCAACTAGTGATTTCTTACTGTTTATTTTTTTGAAATTATGTATTATCTCTACCCTTTTTTTTCTTTAAATTAAAAACAAACTTTTTAATCCCATAGTTGTTGCTTGATTGAAAATCTTTTATAATTCTACTAGATTTCAAGATCAAAGGCAAGAATGTTATCTTTTACTTTTCAATTCCTAGCACATTAAGTGTGCTCTATAAATTCTGGTACATTGTTGGACTACAGTAATTTAATTAGCTGTACACTTGGCTGCACAGTGTACAGCAGTAAAGTGATTCCTTTACTGCTTTGAAAATGGTCAATACTGATACTGAATATATTTTGATGTATTTTGCCCTAGTACTAGACGTTTGGTACTTGACACTCAAGCTAGAACTTGTCTGGCTTGATTCGTTATGACTCATTACCCTTTCTAGCCAAAATCATCTCTTTCTGGTGCTTCTCACATCTCCTGAAATTAATTAACCTCGAGTACCAATGTCTCACTGAACTTGGCTGTAGATTTACAAGTAGATATATCTGCTATAAAAAGTAGATATATCTGCTATTATAAATGATTATGTTTACTTAACAGAGCAAGTCTAGAAATTAGACCATATAATTCAGGAAAGTGCTACTACCTAATTAAGCATGCCTGGTATCTGAATTCTTCAACTAGGGCAAAAGGAAAAAAGGGTACAATTATATGAACACATTTTATATATATATATATGTATATGCATCTAGCTATTGAATGCATACTATTTTTATACTGGTTTTGTATTTTAAAAATAGGAGTATGACAAGACACAAGATGACTTTATATAAACAAATACTTAAAAGTCTTGCTTGCTCTCAGAGCCTCCTGTTTCTTCTAATGCAGAGTCAGTCTGCTACTACGATCAGCTTGAAATGGCACTCACAGGGATTCATCCTTAGGTTTAGCCTACTTAATTCCATTTTTGTGTGCTGACACTAGTAGTTTACTACTGTTGTTACTGTATAACAATTATTCATGGTTTCAAATAATCCATCAGTTTTTATTCCTTAATCTTTCCCAAAAGAAAACACACACACATGAAGCACACAGGGTCAGAAATTTAAAAACAGAAAGAATCAGGACAGATGAAAAAGATATTAGTAGTGAGTTCTGCTTGCATATAATGATGCTACAAAATATTCTAAGAGCTCAAAAAAGGAAAACCAGAAAGATTATACATATAGTATGTATATATATACATATATATATACACAAGATAGATAATTATACTACTAATCTGTCAATTCATCAAAAAACAATTTGCTTTCATTGATTGTATGATTGTTTTTTCATGCCTATATCTTGTAATTTAAACAACTACTTTAAAGATAACAATAGGCAACATATTAACCATTGTTAATCTGTTATTTTGTTTTGAAATTAAGTATCATTTCTATTTTCTCATTTTAAAGTTTAAAATAAAGAAAGCATAAATCAAATAATGGAAAATCTGGTACTTTCCCCATCAGAGGTGGCAGCAGAAAGTTGACTCTGTCTCTATGATCCAACACTGACTCTTAGCATAAAATTGCTCTTCAAATATTTAGTTAACTGTCCAAATCAGTGAGAATATATAAAAAGTACTGTATATAAATGCAGAGCTGAAGAAAACCTATTATGAAATTATGTTAAATAAATCAAGAGTAAGTTACACCTTCAATAAGAAAAATCGCCATTTCTAGTCACTATTTCTTCTTTTTCTGAAAAAATACAGGTTATAAGAAATCTTCCCATATTGAAATAATCTTACAAGTGTTCAATTTGTAACAACTCACTGACCTCAAGATTTGTGCATTTCTCCGTACACCCCCATGCTTCAAGAAAATAATTTTTAAAAATTCTTACCCATAGGAGAAAGCATCATTATCTCTCCATTTTGAAATAACAGAAGCTGCCAATCCAGCCAAAATGGCAGTGCTATCGAAAAACATGTGAAACGAGTCCGAGATCAAGCCCAAGCTGAAAAAGAACAAGCACATCAGCCTATTATAATAAAAACCAAACTCTGGGCATGTTTTCCTAAAACTCTAAGGCTCAGACCCTGTTCATCAGGAACTACCTTTTAAAAGGACACCATTTAAATACAGTTTGTACAAAGGCATCAAAGACATCTAAAAAGAAAACCTTCCCACTCCCTGACAAGAAAAAGCCCCACTGTTACACAGAGGGTAGAAATAAAAGTCACCTGCTACTAGACACAGGGTAGGAATCTGCCCATCCCCCGGTCACCAGTGAATATAAATTGCTACCAAAAGAGAAGTAGAAAAAATTACTACCTGCTGGAGCAGGGTTGGGGAATAAAAACTGCTTGAGCACAGCATCTTATACTGATGCAAAGCAAAAGTCTGCTATTATTAGGTGTCCCAGTCCTCCTTCTTGAAACCAGCCTAAGGAGGAGGAACTGGTTGGAGGGGAGAGGAGAGACACAGGAACCTTAACAGCCATTCTGAGATACCTGCTCTGTCTCATCGTGTGATGCCCTCTCATATCAGCACCTTGAAACTGAATTTCCTAGCCTCCAGAACCATGATCTAAAAAAACTTCTGTACTGGAAAAACAAAACAAAACAAAACCTACCCTGTCATTCAGGGGTACAAGGCCTGCCTAACATTATCCCCATACCAAAACTCGAATAAAGTACAAGGCAATAGCAATCTACCTGTGAGGACAAGAATAGAGACATTATGTGTGGTTCAGATGTGTAGAACCTTCTGAAAGCTGAGTGTGGAACAAGAATCTTGAGAAAACACTTCAGTTTTCCAAATCCCACACTAAGTAAAAGTTATATGAACCCACTGGAAAAATGTGAAGTCTGTGAGATGTAGAAATTAATTAGCAACAACAAAATTCAAAACTCAACTTAGCTCAGCTCAGGAAACTACTGACCAGGCAAGAAAATAGTGGTGCACAATTTGGATATATTCACTCTTAACTTCAATTGATTACTTCTTTAAACAAAATTCAAAACCCAACTTAGTCCCAGCTCAACTATTGACCAGGTAGGAAAACAGTGGTGCCCATTTTGGACATATTCCCTTTTAACTTCAGTTGATTATTTCTTTAAATATGCAGTGTTATGGTTTGTGTCTGGATGTTCTCTCAAAGACTTATGTAGTCATGGTGGGTAGGCTTTTTGGAGAAGGGTGAATCTAGAGTTTGTGAGTGATTCATGGCTCAGTTCTGGGACTGAGGGTGTAAATGGTACACCTGCTCTAGGGCAGGTATCCTGAATACAATATATAGAACAGAAAGAAATTTGCTCTCCTTTTTCTCTTGTTTTGGTGTCTTCCATCACCATGAACAGCTGCCATGCCTTCTGCCATGCCACCTTGCTTTAGAGATAGCCAATTATGGACTTAAACCTCTACAAACTGTGAGCTAAACAAATCCTTCATGCTTTAATTTTAGGTATTGGGTATTCTGTCCTAGCAACGAGACAAGTAACTAAGACATGCAGCACTCAATATATGCATATAAAATATATAATAAGATCAAAAAGGGGGTTGTCTTGGTTAGTTTTCTCTCGTTGCTGGGACAAAACATCTGACACTCAAAGTAAAGGAAGGAAAGGCTTATTTCTTGCAGTTTTTGGAAGTTTCAGTCCATAATCAGCTGGCTCCAAAGCAGGGTGGCATGGCACTGGTGCAATACTTCAAGGCAGCAGCCAGCAAAAGCAGCTAGAGCAAAAAGGGAAAGAACAAACCTCTTCTCCTGGCTAATATTGTACACAGGCCACCCTCATCACCTCCATACCACCCACCAGGTATAGCACTCAAAAAATCTCCTTGCACCAGATGAGGATATTTTTCCAAGTAAGAACCCTGGCTTCCTGCTAAGTCTCTCAGTTAAACTTCTAAACTGTTCAAGTTGACACAATGTATCAACCATAACAGTCCCGTAGCCTAAAAAAAGACTCACTGTTCAAGAACTAAAGCAATCAAAAGCATCAAAAGCAAGACTGGCTCAGATGTTGCAACTAACAGAGAAGGACTTTAAAACAACTGTGATTAATCTGTTAATGGTGTAAAGCTGGAGAATACTCATGAGCAAATGGGAGATTTCCAGAGAGGGAGAAACTATATAAAAGAATCAAATGAAAATGTTAAATTTTTAAAATTAAAACATATGTGGGTTTCCAACTAGACTGGGCAAAGAATCAGTTAAGTCAAAAGAAATTACACAAAGGGAAACACAAAGAAGAAAAGGAGTAGAAACAAAATCAGAAGAGATCAAAATTTATTAGACGGTATAAAATAAACCAAACACATGTCTGTAATCCCAGCACTTGGGAGGATTAGGGAGGAGGATCATCAGGAGTTTGAGACCATCCTGGGCTACAGAGTGAGTTCAAGGCTAGCCTAGTCTATATAGTGAGCTCTTGTCTCAAAATAAATCAAAAAATAAAGTAACACAGAATGGAATAAAATAAAACAAACATGCTTTGGAGTCTCAGGAGTTGGGAAGAAAGATGGGCTAAAGAAAGTATTTAAAAATCTTCCAAAATTCATATACGGAAGAAAATCACAGATCCAAACAGCTTAATGAAGCCCAAGCAGGCAAGGAAATCCTTTATACTTTATAAACTTCTCAACATCTGAGAGAGAAAAATCTTTGATAATTGGGTATTAGATAAAAGAACAAAGATAATCAGTCAAGCATAGTTTTCATCAGAAACTATTCATGCCAGAATCCAATGAAGTGATATCTTTAAACAATTAAAAGAATAAATACTACCAATCTAAAATTCTATGTGACCCTTTTTTCAAACAACCAAAGCTAAGGCTATTCATTGACTATGTCAGTTAGTATTAAAGAGGTCTAGTATCTTGTAAAGATAATTTAGAATAGAATAGGAAGAGAAAAATCAATAAAACTAAAACTTGTTTCTTTGAAAATACCAATAAAATTACTAAATTTTAGTTAGACTAAGAAAAAACATATTATGAACTAATTATAAAGCAACAAATTAGACAGCATAGACAAAACAGACTAATACCTAGAAATAACTTAGCAAAACTGACTTAAAAATAATGTGAGGAAGACCTATGACAAGATAAAAGATTGAATTAGCAGTATTAAGACTTCCAGCAAGAAAATAAATCCAATGTTAAAAAAATTAAATGTAATGTTGATTTTACTCTTAAATATTCTCTTACACATTTAAAAGAACAATGAATGCCAATCTTTTACAAACTCTTCCAAAAAAACAGAAAATAAGAGAATACTTCCCAAGGATAAGACCAGTACTACCTTAATACCAAAACCAGACAAAACTTCACAAGAAAAAACAGACCAATCTCTTAGAAACATATATGCAAAATCCTCAACAAAACAATCAAACCAGGCAATATATTTTTAAAATGTATATATATAACATGATCAAGCACAATTTAACTTTACATACAAGGGCAGTTTAATATATGAAAATCAATCAATGTAATATGCCATATCAGTAGAATAGAGGGGAAAAAACTGCATGACCATTTCAATAGCTACGAAAGGCATTTAACAAAAATTCAATACCTTTTCATGGCAATCACACTCAACAAAATTAAAATAGAAAGAACTTCTTCAACTTGATATATGATATCTATAAAAATCCCACTGTGAACATCACCATCATTAAGAAGTTTGCATTCCCTGAAGATAAGGAACAAAAACAAGGATGTCTCTTGTCATCACTATATACTATTTTACTGGAGACTCTAACTAGGGCAAGTAAGCAGTAACTACAAAAAAAGATCCCAGATTGGAAAAGAAAAAAATTATCACATGGTGGGATCTTGAACAGTACATAGAAAATTTGAAGGATAAACCAGTATTAAGAAAATTAAAATAAATGAATTCACCAAATTAACAGGATACAGGATCAAAAATGAACTATATTCATACACAGTAACAAAAACAAAAATGAAATTTATAAAATTCTATTTATTTATAATATCAAATAGAAAAATTAAAATTCCTAACAAAAAAATTTAACCAAAAAAAGGCATTTTACATTCTAAAAGCTCTAACTGTTATAGTTAAAGATGACCTAAACAAGTACAAAGACTTCGATACTTATGGATCAGAATATTTTCTTTTTGAAGGATTGAAACCAGGGTCTTGTATATGGTGAACTCATGCTCTATCCGAGACAGAGAAAACAGTATTTTTAAGCTGTCATATTTCCCTCAACAATCTACAGATTCCATGTATTGCCTATCAAAATCCAAACTAACTTTGGAGAAATTAGCCAGCTAATCTTAAAATTCATATGGTAAATTGATAGGCTTAAAAGAGGCAAAACAATATTGAAAAGGGCAGCAAAGTTGGAGAACTCTTACTTCCCAATTTCAAAATCTGAATAACTGCATTAATTACAACAGTGTGGTACTGGCATAACGGTAAACACATAGATCAAAGGAGTAAAATTTAGAAATAAAACCTCACATGAATGACAGACTGATTTTTGACAATGATGCTGAAGCAATTTAATAATGGAAATACTCCTTAAGAAATTAACAAATACTCCTTTAACCAAATTGTGCTAATACAGTTGACTATTTACATGTAAAAATGATTCTGGATCCTTCATATCCTTTACAAAAATGAGCTTAAAATAAATCTAAGAGCTAAACCTACAGAACCCTTGAACATAAGAGTTTTAGATGAGGTAGTAATTTTTTACATATGAAATCAAAAGCACAAGCAACAGAAGAAGAGAATGCACAGAATGAAAGAAAATTTTTGGCAGTCGTGCATCTGTCAAGGGCTTTTAATCAGAATATGAATTGTTAAAACTCAACAAAAGTTACACAATCCAGTATTGAAAATAGACAAAAAGATCTGAATAGACATTTTCTCAAAAACATGTAATATAGCCAATAAGCACATTAAGATACTCAGCATCATCAACTACAAAGAAATGAAAATCATAACCACAGTAAAATAATTTCACACTCACTAGAATATAA